GTGGCGCCCGGCGCTGCCTCCCCCCCCAATGTCAGCTATGGAGCCGGCGGGACGGCTCAAAGGGTGGCCACCAGCAGAAGGAGGGGAGGAGCGAGGGACAGCTTCCAGGGAGAGAGCGGGGGCTGGAGCACAGAGACCACAGACCCTTGACTGCGGGAGGTAGGAAGCGACCCAGAGCGTGGCCATGGTGGCCCATGGGTTGGTGCGTTGCAGGGATGAAACCCCCATCCACTGAACTGTGGGAGAAGCTCTTTCCCCCGGTTCTGAGGGCCCTGGGTCGGGGCTCGGAGTGGGGGCGGGCCTGAGCTTCCCTACCGCCGATTGGTCTCGGTACCGGCCAAGGACCCAGAAAGTACATGTATCGCAGCAAAGGGTACTCAGAATCTGATTACACATCAGGAAGGGCATTGCACCTGAAAGGTGTTAGGTACAGCCCCTCCCCAGATGGAGGATGAGGGGTGCCGTGCCGACACGGGTGGCCTGGGATGTGGGCGCTCCGTCACACTCTTGAAAGCTTATGCCCAAGTAAATCAGTTAGTCTTTAAGGGTATGTCTACACAGCAGGCTTATTTCAAAATAAGCTATTTTGGATTTTTTTTTTCCTAACTAGCTTTTTTCGAAATAGTATGTCTATACTACAGGGAAGCTTCAATACTAGTCCGAGTCAGGCTGCCCTGATATGGACCTGCTATTTTAATTTAGAGCCCCAGGAGGCAGTAATTACATTGGCCCTGGGGAGGAGCTATTTCAAAATAGCAGCAGTGGAGCATCTCCACCAGTGGTCCCCAACACGGTGCCCGTGGGCACCATGGCACCCACCAGGGCATTTATGTGCGCCCGCTGAGTGACCAGGGCCAGCCCAAGCCATTCTTGCGCCCCAGGTGTGTGGCGAAGGCGCAGCCCCGCCCCATGGTGTGTGGTAGCCCCAAAAGGATGGGGACCACTGATCTATACCACTGCCATCTGAAATAACTATTTTGGAATAAGCATTATTCCTCATGGAATGAGGTTTTCAGATTTTGAAATAAGCCATCTGTTATTTTGAAATTATTTCTTAACAAAATTGCTGTGTAGACACTCGCACTGTTGTTTCGAAATAACATTAGTTATTTTGAAATAACTGCTGTGTAGACACACCATATGGTGCCACAGGTTTTCTCATAGTTTTTGTGGATACAGACTAGCACAACTACCCATCTTATGATAGTCTTGGTTAGGCATATTAAAAATCATGTAATTGGTTACTCTGTAACTGCTGACAATCTCAGTGGTTACAGAGTTGGCCCGTGCTGCAGACTCTGCAGCATAAAGCTCAGCCTTTATTCTGCAGAGCCTGCAGTGAAGCCTCCCCAAGAGCAGGCCCACCTGCCTCTGCAGCAGTGAAGCCGCCTCCCTGGGAGTGGAACTGGCAGCAAAGCCTCCTCCCCAGGAGCAGAGCAGGCAGCCCTTGCCCGCCCAGCTCCAGGGGAGGCAAACACCATTAACAGATGGGTTAAATGTTTAGTCATTTACACTCAAACATCCCTAATCTTGTTAAATAGTGATAGAAATGTAGCCGTGTTAGTCTGGTGTTAGCTGAAACAAAATACACTTTAAAGACTAACAAGATGGTTTATTAGATGATGAGCTTTCGTGGGCCAGACCCACTTCCTCAGATCAAATAGTGGAAGAAGATAGTCACAACCATATATACCAAAGGATACTATGGTTCTATGACTATGACTATACAATTAAAAAAAAAACTGAACACATATGAAAAGGACAAATCACATTTCAGAACAGGAGGGGGATGCAGAGGGAGGGGAAGGAAGGAAGGTAAGTGTCTGTGAATTGATGATATTAGTGGTGGGGAGAGCGGGATGTTTGTGAGTTAATGGTATTAGAGGTGATAATTGGGGAAGCTATCTTGGTAATGGGTAAGGTAGTTCGAGTGTTTGTTCATTCCTTTTTGGAGAGTGTCGAATTTTAACATGAATGACAGTTCAGAGGATTCCCTTTCAAGTGCAGTGGTAAAAGGTCTCTAATCTTGTTAGAGGCTCAAAACATGAAGCTCTCATTTGTCCTTTCTTCTACTGATGTGGTGGATAAGAAGAGAGGTCCTGATTGCTCTGGCCCATTTGTACATTGTGAGGAACAGTTCTAGCACCAGCTGTTTTTCTCTCATTCTTCTAATTACAGTGAACAGTTTCTATCGAACCATCAGACTTGAAATATATGTGGTGTCTGAAAATATCATGAAATTCTAAAGCCACAGTATATCACCTCCCTAAATATGTCTCTCAAACAGGGTGAGACAGGGTATTGGACTAAACGGTGTGGACCATCGACATAACTGCCATACAGAAGCAGTTATGTCTCAAAAGCTTATTTTGCTGATATGAAAGAGTCCAGCTGAAATAGGTTGGGATGTGCGTCATTCACAATGAATGCTTATTAAACCTTTACTCTGCAGTATTTCTGTAATATCTAGAAACTGTGATTTAAAAAAAATAGTTTTTGGGACTTTTTATATATATTTATTTTTAGTCCAGTTGTACAGGCAGGGGAACAGACAGCCATGCCAGGCCCCTGAGCCAGGTGGGGGACATTTCATGCCCCTGAAAGGGTGGGGCCTCAGGCACAAAAGGCAGCACCTGGGCCACTGCTGCCTTCCCACCTCCACCAGTGCTTGGAGTGTACTTTG